TATTTTGCGAAATAGGTTATTTAGTATCCGTGGTCGTCGAATTCAAACTCGCTGTCTTACTTAAGAATTATGTTCATTTAATGCTGAAAATCGCTGTGATCGGCTACTACATCATTGCTTTTTTTTGCGTTTGAGAAAATTGCGATCAATAGGTAGAGGCGTACAGTGTGTTTCCAATTAGCTTAGTTATACGTTTTTTTAAGATTAAGAAATAAAATAATAATAAATAAATACTGACAACCCTCGGCTGAAAATTTCCATGTGAGAAATTCACCCCTGATGTGTCATCACACTTGGAACAAAGTCTCAATTCGTGTGTGCGAGACGATTTACACTAGTCACACACAGAAAATCCATCCTAAAATTTTTCACGCGTGCGAATCGTATCACATCTGAATTTGAGACTATGGGTAAGACTCTAATAGGGCCTATAATAGAAGGAGCTTTAAATCTCCGAGAAAAAAAGCGTTTTGACAAGTAGGCGGCTCGTAAACAAAAATGCTGTCGCTACGATGGTTTGCAGCAACTCGGCGCCTCGAATCAAGTGAAATTTGAATTTCAGTAATGATCATTAGTCATGAAGTTATTTCCAGCACATAATAATTATAAAGAAAATATCGCAATGCTGAAGACTAGATCTACAATACATTGCGCATTTCTGAAACCACGCATCAATTTAATATTAATTTTATTAGCACAAATAAAAATACATAAGTGATATTATTATCAATCTAACGAGCAAGCTACAATTATCAAAATAGTTAGGATTATTGTAGAACCCATTAGAACTTTAAGTCGTAGTCTGGGAAGCGAAACGCTTTTCATAAAGTGCGTAAATGTGTGTACATCAATTTTTCTAAGTTGAATTAAGAATTATAAATAATAAAAAACTGAAAATTGTAAAAGTCGTCGCCACTTTTCGGTGAAAAGAAATTCCAAAAACAAATTTCCATAATTTCTTTTAAAATCAATTTCTCGTTGCCGCTGTTCCGCATGGTAACTTCATCGTTTAGAAAACCGACATACGAAAGAAGATCCGTAATGAGTCAAAGGTGCCAGGCTGCTCGGAGAGAGTAGTGGATGTGGCGAAGGTGCGGAATTTGAGAGGAATAAACAAAACGGGGGATGAGGCTGTGGGGTATGAGGACAGATGAACGTAGTGCGACTTAAGAGAATTGCGGACGCCGACGGGGCGGCCCATTGAGGTTTATTTTGAATTTAAAATGAGCAAAAATCTTATCACCGTCGATTTTGGCTTTGAAAAAATTTTGAAAGCAGCAAGTTGTATCTTGAAGGGCCTAGAATGAAAAAGGATACCGATTTTTGCGATTACAAAGTTCGGTGTGATACTTTTTCTCGAGCTCACAGTCGAAAACTGGGAAATTCAGTTTATCGCTTTCAGCAAGGTCGCGCTGGCAATTGTACGCTCCACAATCGTTTTTCGATCTCGAAAATGTGTTTTCCATTGTATTTTTCATCGCTGAACACGAATCTGAAATTAAATTATTTCGACAACTTAAAAGTTCAACAAAATTTGATACGTGGAAACAGAAAAAGTCACCCTACTGTTTTCGTGTTTCTTGGACGCGAGTTTGAAGTCAATTGTCATCACAGCTGTCATGACAACTGCTAACTGTCAAACTGGCAATTTGACTTTAGATTCAGGGTCAACGACAAAAAATACAATGGAAAAAACTTTTTTTGGGAGAAACATGATGCTTTCAAAATTTTTTTAGAGCCGAAATCGACGGTCATAAGATTTTTGCTCTTCCATGATCATAATAAACCACAGTGCGGCCTCAGAAAAGCTGCGAACGAAGCGAGGCTCAAGTAAAAATTCTGATGACGCCGAGGTTTAGGCGAAGAGGGCAGACGTGCGCTAAGCTGCTCTGAGAAAAAGGTCACATATAGCAGAGGCTCGGGGAGGAAAAGAAGACGAGCACGGCGCGGCCTTCGAAATAGGCAGGAGGAAGCTGGGACTTGATTAAGCAGGGTAGACGAGTGCAGTGATGACTGAAAATACGACAAGCGAAGCAACGGCGCTGGGAAGATAGCAGACGAGCTCAGTGCTGTTCGGGAAAAGTCAAAGGAGCCGAGTGCTGGTCTGATGAGGGCGGACGAGCACAGTGCTGCTCTAAAAAGGAGCGGACGAGCCTAGTGTTGCTACGATAAAGGGGTATGAGTTCAGTGCGGATCTCTAAAAAGGCAGATTAGCGAGGGCAACGTTAAAAAGTGTAGACGAACGAAGGGCTGCGTCTAGAAGGGCAGACGGGCAGAAGGCTACGTCAGAATAGGACGGCCGAGCGGAGGGCTCTGTGATGTAGGGCAGACGAGCAGAGACCTAAGTCACAATATAACGAACGAGTGGAGAGCTGCGTCCAAAAGGGCAGACGATCAGAGGGCTATGTTAAAACAGGACAGATGAGCGGAGAGCTGTGTAAAATGAGGAAGACGGACGGAGGGCTGCGTCATGAAGGGCAGACGAGCAGAGGGTTGCGTCGAATTTAGACGGACGGTGGTAGGGATTCGTCGAAATTAGACGGACGGCGAAAGGGAGACGTCGAAATAAGATGGACGGGCAGAGGGCAGCGTCATGAGAGGCAGACGAGCAGAGGGCTACGTCGAAAAGGACAGACGAACTGGGGGCTGGGTGGAATAGGGCGGACGAGCGGGAGTAAAGGTGAAATAAGACGGACGAGCGGAGGGCTGCATCCAAAAGGGCAGATCAGATCAGAGGGCTATGTTAAAACATGACGGACGAGCGGAGGGCTGTGTAAAATGGGGCAGACGAGCGGAGGGTTGCGTCATGAAGGGCAGATGAGCAGAGGGCTGCGTCGAATTTAGACGGACGGTGGTAGGGATTCGTCGAAATTAGACGGACGGTGAAAGGAAGACGTCGAAATAAGACGGACGGGCAGACGGCAGCGTCTTGAGAGGCAGACGAGCAGAGGGCTACGTCGAAAAGGGCAGACGATCAGAGGGCTATGTTAAAACGGGACAGACGAGCGGAGGGCTGCGTCGAAATTAGACGGACGGTGAAAGGGAGACATCGAAATAAGACGGACGGGCAGAGGGCAGCGTCATGAAAGGCAGACGAGCTGGGGGCTGGGCGGAATAGAACGGACAAGTGGAGGGCTATGTCGGAAAGGGCAAACGAGCTGTGTGCTTGATGAAACAGGGCAGACGAGCGGAGGGCAGAATAAAATGAGACGGACGGGTGGGGGGGCCGAAGAGCTGCGTCTAAAAGGGCTTGCGAGTCGAGGGCTACGTCGAAATTAGACGGACGGGCAGAGGGCTGAATGAAATAGGTCACACGAGCGGAGGGCTGTGTGAAATAGGACGGACGAGCAGACAGCTGCATCCTCAAGGGCAGACGAGCAGAGCGCTATGTCAAAAAGAGCAGACGAGTCAAAGGCTGGGTGAAATAGGGCGAACGCGTAGAGCGCCATGTCTAAAAGGGCAGACAAGCTAAGGGCTGGGTGAAAATGAACGGACGAGCGGGGGGTTGTGTTCAGAAGGGTAGAGGAGCACAGGGCTATGTTCGAGTCCGAGTCCGCAGAAAAGAGTGCAGATGCGTTGTGCTGAATGGAAAAAACGGCAGACGAAGCGGTTGCATAGATTGTAGCCAGTCGAACATGGGGAGTCCTAGCAAAAGATTCAAGCAGTGCGGACTCGAAAAAATTGGCGAAGGAGCCCAGTGCTGCTTTAGTAAGGGGTCAGTTGGAGTGAGGGTACGGAAAAACGCTTAGGCAAACGCAGTGCTGACTGGGAATAACGGCACATAAAAGCGAGGGCGCTAGTTGTAAGCTAGACGAGCAGGGGGTCAGGCTAAGTGGGGCTTGAATAAGAAGATGGTCGAGCCCATTTCTTCTCTGGAAAAGGCCAATCAAGCATAGTGTTAACTTGGATTGACAGTTAACGACAAGCAATAACAGCGGGCGACTTGAGGACAAGATAAGGCGGTTATAGTAGGGTCTTAGGAATGGGTCCGACGGAGCAAGGGCGCGGAAATGATCCCAGACGACCACATTGCTAACTAGAAATTATGTTAAACGGAGCGGGTTCTCGGAAAAAGAGGACGGATGTGTCCAATGCAGGTTTGAAATAGAGTTAGACGAAGTTGGGTTCGGAAAAGAGAGCGGACGAGGCCATTCTGACTTGGAGTAAGAGTTAGTCGAAGCGGAGTCTCAAAAAATAGGGCGGAGCGAGCATAGTTTAAGAAGATGGGAAGGTAGAGCAATGACTCGGAAGAAAAAGCGGTCAACCTCAGGGCGGTTTCATAAGTGTTTCAGACATATAGAGATTTGTGTGAAGGGCAGACGTGCTCAGTGCTGCTTGATAGAAGAGTCAGAGTCAAACATGGACTTTGGTAGAAAGGCAAAGGAGCACAGTGTGACCTGGTTTAGCCGTAGAAGACGTGAAGATAATATTGAAAAGACAAAAGCAACGGGCGGAACAGGTAATGCAACAGACCAAAGGTAAGCTGTGGTATAAGTGTCAATGATCAAGAGTTAGACGTAGTCGATGTTTTGGGAAATATGGGAAAGGAAGAACGAGAGCGGAAAAAAGGTAGAATAACGAGAACGGTCTCACCACCCTACGCTTATTTGACCTTTCGACAGTTGACATTCTGTCACCTAACCCACAATTATTTGTCTTGATTCCAGTTTTAGAAGTTGAACGAGTAAATTATCACTCTTCTTTTTAATTATTTATCTAATTACCTCAATTTTAGAAAAAATTTTTCATAAGTCCACTTATCCATAACTGTTTGTGATGAACTCAGTGGTGTATGAAAATTTAAATAATTGAGGCCCGTATTGAGAACAACCAAAACAGCTAAGGGAGATGATTGAAAAAAACAGATTTATATAACAAATCATCTTTATTTACACAGAGTATAACGTTTTATCGAATTATTCGAATTTCGTCTACTATTAGGCTGAATAGTTTTTAGTAAAACCTTAGTAGAAAAGAAAAAATATAAAAAACATGTAAATTCATATCTCCCAATCCAGATCGTTGCCAACGTCGTCATCATCTTCATCCATACTATCATCAGCCTCACTGTCTTCGTTGCCATCATTTTCACCATCGTTGTTCATATCATCATCATCATCTTCTCCATTTTCATCATTGCCATCAATATCAACATCATCACCATTCTCGTTCTCCTCCTCAACAACATCATCATCACGATTACCACCATCATCACCATCCAAGCATTGTTCGAAATGCTCCCCCTGTTGCTGAATACACAAAATAGCTCTACGTCTTATCTGATGTGTAGCTGCATGTATTTTTTCGGGTTCTAGATGCTGAGCGTGATGTTGGATTCCTTGAATCATTTCATTTGGGTCATTGAGGCCGCCATTGTGATAAACTGCTTCTTTGGATGTCCCCCAGTAAAAGTAGTCCAATGAGTTCAAATCAGGAGATCTTGCTGGCCAGCGTACTGGACCATTATTGCCTATCCAATGGACGCCATATACCTTGAAGAATTAAAATATTTTATAAGCGATTTTAATATACCTGCGTAAAATTAGTTATGAAACCAATAATTTTTCTAGTCGACAGTTGTACATGCAGGTGCATGTACAGACATATACATATTTAGTTTCTAGCGCTGTACTGGGAATGCAATCTCACATGCTCCCCGAAGTATACTCGTACTAATGAAGCCGTGTTGGTTTTAAAACTTCTGTAGACTAAAGTAATCAAAATACTGGCAGCATACGTAGAGATTAAAAAAATCCTACATGAAATTTCAGAGCGTTAAGACTTTCATTAGGAGAAATCGCGTAATACAATTTTTGGTAAGGAAGGGTAAAGCAGGCAGAAAAATGAAAAGAAATGCTTTATTCGACAGAAAGACTTTGGCGTCCGCGTCACGGAAGAGACTAGAACGAATTGAGCGGCAACGCCGCTAGCCGCCAAGAGAGAGCGAGACGTGCAGTCAAGCACATGCGCAGAGCAAAATAGGCGAGACGCCTTTACATATTTCCAACACTCCCTCACGGCGAGTCTATTTAATTAATAATCTTTGCTTCTTTCTCACATTAATGTCTAAAGTCTTCCTTATATTAATTAATATTAATGATGCACTAACACTCGATTCGAGTAATTATTTATTTATTCAAAGATAGAAATGATTTCTCAAAAAAAATAACAATAGGTAAATTGTACGTTATTCGGCCGTCGCGCTTCGCGAATCAGCTCGTAAGAACTTTAACAAATTTTAATGCTATTGAATAGTCGCGCGTCGCGAATCCACTGCCGAAAAGTCGAGTCTCTGTTTTTATATTGACTCTTCAGCCCGTATTAATATGTTGAGTAATCTAAAAATCAAAATGTCGGGCGCCCCAAATTTTCGGACTACTTATCTTTTAATTTCGCTCAGTTTGTATTTCGTAAAAATGCCGTTCGTCGTTTATACATTATTTCGTTTTCAATCGATTGCTGATGAAATCAAAATGAAGAAATATTTACGTCTCAGGACGTAACATCTCCGTGGCTAGATCGTTGTATATCGGTGTGATATCAACGCAAAACAAAATAGAATAAATAAATAAATGTACATTACTTTTGGTTATTCGGCAATCAATTGAATGAGCTTTAATTTTGCCTTAATAGTACTTTTAATGCTAGGCGAACAATAATACTCCGTATCGTGGTATAATAGAGCTTCATTTCAGGATTCGATATGTATATACAGGGTGGCCCATTTTAAGTGATCCACTCAGATATCTAGATTGGAGTGAGTTTTATCGAAAAAAGTTTCAGACAAAAGTTACTCAACTTTGAGGGGGCCATGTTTCTATGACCTTGGATTTGACCTTGGAGGTCATGTTCAAGGTCATTTCAAGGTCAACTTTGTTTTTTTAAATAGGAACCCCCATTTTTGACCCCGGATTCGGAAAGAGCGGGAAATTTTACGTCCAAAACGGTATTTTAAAATTTTTTTTCATGGCCTTGAGAAGGTCGATTTAAGGTCAAATGCTTGAAAAACTGCATAAAAGCGTTTTTTTAATTTTTAAGATATCGAAAAATGACCTCTACAAAATTTGTTCAGAACAGAGTGGGCCACCCAATGCACCAAAAACCTTTGACCTTTAACCTCATTTTGAAGGTCATTTCAAGGTCGAAGTGTTTTTTGTAATGGAAACCCCTCTTTTTGACCGAATTTTGAACCTATTTTTGAACGGATTTCCGACGTTTGGATAAGGTATTGTGTTGAGTTTCGCGCTATGTGCGAATCCGGGGTCAAAAAGAGGGGTTTCCATTACAAAAAACACTTCGACCTTGAAATGACCTTCAAAATGAGGTTAAAGGTCAAAGGTTTTTGGTGCATTGGGTGGCCCACTCTATTCTGAACAAATTTTGTAGAGGTCATTTTTCGATATCTTAAAAATTAAAAAAACGCTTTTAGGCAGTTTTTCAAGCATTTGACCTTAAATCGACCTTCTCTAGGCCATGAAAAAAAATTTAAAAATACCGTTTTGGACGTAAAATTTCCCGCTCTTTCCGAATCCGGGGTCAAAAATGGGGGTTCCTATTTAAAAAAACAAAGTTGACCTTGAAATGACCTTGAACATGACCTCCAAGGTCAAATCCAAGGTCATAGAAACATGGCCCCCTCAAAGTTGAGTAACTTTTGTCTGAAACTTTTTTCGATAAAACTCACTCCAATCTAGATATCTGAGTGGATCACTTAAAATGGGCCACCCTGTATATAACGGATTTGTGTTTTTAACTAATGTGATTCTAATGTGAAAATTGGAATATGTTGCTTCTTTCTGGTGGAAATTTCTTTAGGAGTAGGGACGGGAGGTGTGGTGTTTGAGGTCTGATTCGTGAATGGAGTTATTGCTTGTGGGTTCTCATTTTTTTGTTTGTCTATTACTATTTCATCCAATGCATATTTTTCATCTTTTGATGGAGTTTGGTTTCTTTGTTTAAGCAGTGGTTCGTTCAGTGCCACCAGTAATTGTGTTATTGAACTAAATATGGCTCCTAGCAAATATGCAGAAATTCCATATATAGAGTGTAGAGTGTAGCCTCTGATTATTACATTGATTAAACTTTTACCGCATTGAAATATAATGGCGATCATTATGATGGCAGAACTTATAGAACCAAATTTAGTTAGTTTGGTGATGAACTTGTTTCATGTGCTTCCAGCGATGTTGGTTAGTGTTTGTTCTGTCAGTATTAGGTTTGATACTAATCCTCCCTCTATACTTTCGTCGCCTCGCATACTTCTCGCGATTACGTTGAGGAGTGATGCTTTCTCCATGGGAAAGAGGATGTGATTCTGTAGTTTTTGTAGGTCTTCTTGGGAGTAGATCCCACTGGTCGCCAATGATTCTAGTTCCGTCGGTTTCCATGTTATTTTGGTGATCGGTTTCAAGGTTAAAACTGCGTTGGTTGTTCTTCTCGGTGTTGTTGTAAAATTTATCCATTCGTTTCCTATTTTGTAGTATTGGGGAATGATTGTGTTACAGTTTATTTCTGTTCCTGTTTTCATTAAGATGTGTGTTTTTGGTGTGAGGTAAAATGTTTCGTTTCTTGAAATGACTGGAAGTTGCGAGAAACATTTGTCTGTATGAAGTAGTTGAACTTCTGTAGGCGTACATTGTATAATATGTACGGCTTCCCTTGCCAGGCGAGCTATGTACCCGGGCTTCTCCATGATGTTGTACGCAAATTCATCTGGTGAGAGGGACGCCAGGGATAAGGAGTTATATAGGACTTTCCTTTCCAATTCACATTTTTGTTGCAATATATCTATATAGAGGTTTTTTATTTCGACCCTGAAATGTTTCTCTACATACACAAATTTGCTATTGAAATACGTGAATAGATCATAGCTAAGTATCCCTTGCTTCGTTTGAATATCATTGTCGTACAAAATATTGAATTGGGTTCGTTCATATATAAAAAGTTTTGGATGTTCAGTTGTGATTAAGATTCTGTTGCAAAATCTCATGTTCCCTCTAGTTGACAATGCAAAGGATACTTCGTTCGTACTTATGCTAAAAATCGTTTCATGATCGGGTGAGCTTATTTTAGTGACCGTTCCTCTATACAGTATATCGTATTGATTCTCGAAACAGTCCTCGTGCGGTAGTAATGACCAAAAGGTGTAACCCCCTTCCATATCGATACAATGTTGGTCCGAAAACTTACATACTGTACCCGAATTTAATCTTAATCTATCATTGTTTAATTCGACTGCTGCATAGCTTTCTAACAAGGTTATTTTTATAAGTCCCTGTACGAGAACATCGCTCCACGTACCAAATCGGTTGGCGTAGGCTGCCCCTGAACAAGTTTTTCCCTTAACGTTTCCTGCTAGATCTAAACCTACACTTTTTGTTGAGTTAATCCTTAGGTCGGCTATTGTGTGTGCGTTATCATATTTAAAAATACCCGTATCATGTATAGCTTCACAGTTGTCGTGTGATATTTCGTAAATGTATTCTTGGATTGCATTTTCGGTTGGGCCTAAATGACTAAACATATGAAAAATTGTTCGCCTTATTTCTATTTTACATTGTATGATTTTCATTGATTTGAATTCCGTTTTTTGTAATAGTTCGATAGTGGTTTGTGTGCTATTTACTTGAATTTCTTGAAAGTTGCATTCCCCTGCATCCAAGAGTGAATATGTTGTAATGGTAGGGTTCGTTAAGCCGCAATTGAAGCCAATAAGTCCTTCGCTTGTTGAAAAGGAGGTGATTATGATTAAGATAGTCATTAATTTTTGCGCCATTGTGTTTCCTGGAAATAGAATTAGATTACTATGTTTGTTTTGCTACGCTTAATTTATTGGAATGAATTGTTTTTGGTTTTCCATTGTAATCGATTACAACACTGCCTTTTTCAGTTATTTTTAATACTTCAAAAGGTCCTAAATATTTATTTTTCTCTAATTTCCCTGGTCTTGGTTCTTTCATGAACCATACTTTATCTCCAATTTTAAAATTGACTGGATTTGTAAATCGATCATAATAATTTTTTGATTTTTGTTTTGAGGTTATTAGATTTTCTCTAGTCATGTGTGATATTATATTCATGTTTTTTATTAAATTCTCTAGGTATCCATTAAAAGTTGGTAATTGTTCGGATTTTTTTAATGGTACACTAGATGGTAGTTTAGCTGGAAAAGCAAAAACTAATTCATGTGGTGTGAAATTGTGACTAGTGTGTACGCTGGTGTTGTAGTTGAATTGGGCGAACTCTAGGAGTTCGTCCCAATCACATTTTTTTTATGTAAATTGTTTGATGTATTCGCAAAGCGGATGGTTTGCGACCTCTTTCGACAGATCCATTAGATTGAGGTGAAAATGACGTTGTTTCAATTTTTTCGAAATGAAATCTTTTGGCAATTTGTTTTAACATTTTGCTTCTGAAGTTTTGTGCTCTGTCCGTTAGTACTATTTTTGGAGTTCCGAAAGTTCAAATAAACCTTTTTATAAAAGCTTCGCTTACAGCTTCCGCTGTTTGGTCTTTTAATGCTACTAATGTGATAAATTTTGAAAGTTGGTCTTGAATTGAAAGTATGTACCGATTATTACTTTTTGTAATATCAAATGGCCCCATTATATC